GGGTGGCCTGTGTGCTGTGTCTCCCACCCTGCTGATAGCTTCCCCCTCTGCCCTGACCTGCGGACAGATACGGATACGAGACCCCAACCAAGGAGGCAAAGATATCACTGAAGAAATCATGTCCGGAGCAAGGACCTCATCCACCCCTACCCCTCCACAGGTAAGGGGACTCCCTGACTAGGGTAGTGGGATGTGCATGGGACCCTGCTGAGCTCCATCTTTGCCCCTCCAGGCTGGAAGTGGTTTGGAGCCCCAGGCCAATGGAGAGACCCCCCACGTAGCAGTTATTGTCCGGCCAGGTAAGTGCTCGTGCCAGGGGTGGGTGTGCCAGCTGTCACGGCTGCTGCCAGGCTCCCTGTTATTGGTGCTGTGGGGTGTGAGGTGCCAGCCCTGCCGTTCCTCGGTTCATCTGGGGCTTGTGGGGTCAAACACATTCCCTACTCACTTGGGGACTGGTGTCCCCATATTGGGTCCAGGAGAGTTTATGGGGGGTGTCTGCTCACCCCAGCTGTCCCCTGGGTGCTGGAGGACTCCCGTTGTCCCTGTCACCCATTTGTGATGCAGGTTGGAAAATATATCCCTACCACTCTTGCAGATGGAGGGATTTGTGGGGGATGTGGGTTCAGTTGAGGATCAGAGAGCCCCCTATTAATGCTACCCATCTTGCAGATGACCGCCCGAAGCCTGCGCTGGTGGTGAGCAAGCCCGTCTCCCTGGAGCCCAGCAAGTCAGCGTCCCCGTCGCCTCCCCCTCCCCTCATCCCTGAGGTGGAGCCCGTGGTGCTCTCGCTGGTGCCAATGGAGCCCCCTGTGGACGCGGACACTAAAGTGGAGCTGGGCGAGGCGCCGCCCGACCCGCACAAGACGTTTAGCGCCATCACTACAGTGCCAGGGGCTGTGGAGCTGCCCCTCGTGCCCGCGCCTGACATGGACACGGTGGCTGTGGAGGAGGAGGAGGAGGAAGAGGAGGAGGTTGCCATTCCCCTCCCAGAGCCTGTCCCACAGCCACCTCTGCCCACA